ATTAGACTTCTTAAGTTTAAAATATTATATTTAGACAAAAATACTCTAATCAAAAATAAAATATCAAATATTTTAAATTTTATAATCAAAATTCATGTTCTATTATATCATTTTTTGAAATAAAATTAAAATAAAAAATTTATTTTTAAAAAAAAAATCATAATTAGTATACAATTATACAATATATTAAAATAAAACTTAAAAATCAAATAAGAGGTCTAAATCATTCATAATAGAATATGAATTTTACATTCAAAATTCATATTCTATTATGTCATGTATTGAAATAAAAGCAAAAATAAAAGTCTATTTTAAAAAAAAAAAATCATAATTAGTATATAATTATATTATCTATTAGAATAAAATAAAAAAAATTAAACAATTAGTCAAATTGTAATAGATATAATATCTTTTATCTTTAATAGGGGTTGTTTAGTATTTTAATTTGGTTGTTTAAACTATCAAATTAAATTCCAATAGGTAATATAATTGTATACTAATTACGATTTTTTAAGAAAAAAAATTAAATTTTTATTTTTGATTTTATTTCAACAAATAATACAATAGAATATGAATTTTGGTTATAAAATTTAAAATATTTGATATTTTATCTTTAATTGAAGTATTTTTAATCTAAGTATAATTTTAAATTTAAAGAGTCTAAATATTATATAATTATAAATTTAAGGGATTTAAGTATAATTTATTAATTAATATATTTATAATAAGGGTCTAAGTGTTATGCGTATACAACTTTAAAATATTTGTATGTAATATTTTAAATATAAAAAAAATTAAATAATTAAATGATAAATTTTAGAGGATTTAGATGTAATTTTTCCTAAAAAGATGTAACTGTTAAGAGACACGAATGCTTTCTTGGCAACTTAAGAACACCCCCTTTCCATCTGTAAAATCTTCATAAATGAACCGAACAAAAACCAAGAAAGAAAAATTCATTTTTTGTACGCACCGGTTTTGCTGCAATGAATCTTTGTCTTCGTTCCAGATTCCACCTCCTCATCTTCTAACTTTGTCCTCGTCTCTCTTTCTTTGTGTCTCTCTCAACTCTCAAGCCCCACCTCCACACAATTCCTTCTATAAAGTTGAATGTGTACTCATCTCCGTTAGACACTCCAAATCATGACCCATTAACAGTTCTTGGAGTCTTCCTCTCTTGCTCATCTTCTAGCCGTCCCTTCCAGACNATGTGTACTCATCTCCGTTAGACACTCCAAATCATGACCCATTAACAGTTCTTGGAGTCTTCCTCTCTTGCTCATCTTCTAGCCGTCCCTTCCAGACTCTACTTTTTAAAAACACGCCTCACACCAAACCTTTTGGACTTTTTTTGTGCACATTACCGTTTATTCAAAGATGAGAGAGAGTACATCTCCAAGAAGCTTAAAGACAATGAACCAATTGGAATTTTTCAAGAAATTCAAGCGTTTGAAGCCTCTTGAGCCCTCCCCGGGGATTCTTGGTTGCTTCTTTTTCAGTGTTTGCTTGATATTCTGTCTCTTTTTATTGGATTATAGAACTGTGACCCGAAGGTTTCCCTCTGGGGGGCAGCTTGGGTTGGTAAAGTGGTTTGGTTTTAATGGTTCATCTTCAGGTGGGAATGTGAGCGTGGGGTTTCTTGAAGAAAGTGGTGGTCGGTGTGATGTTTTTGATGGTGATTGGGTCTGGGATGAGAGCTATCCACTGTATAATTCCCAAGATTGCTTGTTTGCAGATGGTGGTTTTCGGTGTTTGGAAAATGGTAGGCCTGACAGTTTCTACACTAAATGGCGCTGGCAACCTAAATATTGCAACTTGCCCAGGTTTATTTTAAACTCTCTGTCCAGTAACAATGTTTTGGACTTTAATTTAGTAGGAAATAATGTAGTATAGGCTTTTTTTCTTCCTATTCCTAATCTTCAATATTGTTGTTTGTTGTAGTTTATACCAAGGAGAACATTGGGATTCTTTTTCCTTAATATGTCTTAGATTCTGTTTTTGGTTAATAGAAGTTTCTATTAGCAAATTATGTGTCTTTTGTTGCTGCTGAAAAGTTTGGTAATCTGTTGGATTGAGCCTTCTTTCTGGGTAATTGCGTGTTTCTTCTACTTCTTTGTATTTGATTGTCGTCTTTCTCTGTCTGTGTATTGTTTCTAAGTCAAGCTCATGTCTTTAGGTGCCTCACTCGCGCTACTCAACAAGAAGCCACGGTCAATGCTGAGTATATTGTACATACACACATGTTGAATACTAATATTTCATTAAACTCTGGCTGAAAAAGTTTTGTATCAAAATGGTTTTATCTGTTGATGCAATTCAAGTTCAACAATCCTTCTAAAATCCCAAATCACTTGCCTTTTCTGGATCAACTTTCCGTTATATAGCTGTCAATGTTTTGGTTGACTACTAAATGATTGAGAAAATGTTTTGGTAGGTTGTGAAGTTGTCAAAAAAATAAATAAATAATAATTTAGTTTGACTTTGTTCTTTGTTCTTCCATCATGTTCCATGCATCCCGGAAGAGGGTTTCTTATTTTCAATGGCTAGTTTTCCCCCAATTACAAATAATTAAAGGTTTCCCTGTATTTTTGAATCTATTTGTGATTCAACCTGGGAGATAAATTTGTAACTTTTGTGGGATTAAGTATGAAGAATATGAAATTTCTTACATGGGATGTTTTCTCTTCATGAAACAGGTTTGATGCAAAGAATATGTTGGAAAAACTGCGTAACCGCAGGCTGGTATTTGTTGGAGACTCAATTGGAAGAAACCAATGGGAGTCTCTCCTCTGCATGCTTTCTTCTGCTGTTCGTAATAAGACTAAAATATATGAGGTGAATGGGAACCCAATCACAAAGCATTCAGGGTTCCTAATTTTCAGGTTCAAGGATTACAACTGCACCATTGAATACTTCAGAGCTCCATTTCTAGTGCCTCAGGGCCGGGCGCCTGCTGGAGTTCCGGAGAAGGTGAAGACTACGTTACGAGTGGATCAACTGGATTGGAGCTCCCTACAGTGGAAAGGTGCAGATGTGCTGGTTTTCAACAGTGGACATTGGTGGAATTATGAGAAGACCATTAGAGTGTAAGCATAATTTTTCTGAAGTCTCTTCCGGTGGGTTAAGATATTTTTAAATTTTCTTTCTTTTAGATTCAGTTTCCCCATAAATCAGGATATTGTCGAATTACCTGTTTTGGAGTATACTACACTGGTAGAGACTTCTGATTAACCTCACAACCATGGGCACAATGCCTGGTGGGATGACATTGATTCCTGTTACGTGCCTTGAAATATAAAATATTGAAGTTATTATCTTATGAAAGGCTTCTTCATCTAAAGTTGAGGTGCATGCCCCATCTGATAATTCTCACTTCATATGAATGATAAGATTATGTAATTTGGAGATAGATCTGTAACTTTGATGTAGGAAGTTTAAGAGTGGTGAGATAAGGGGGAAGAAAAACATATGCTAATGTACTCAATCAAAGTGTTCTGAATCAACTAAGATATTCTAAGGGGAATTCCAAGTTAACTTTGGTGTCTACATGGAAAAGAAAAGGAGTGCTTTGCATGTGTTGTAGTTCCATTAAGGACAGGGTGAGCGAATGGTAAACATCATTAACATTGGTGGTGAGATACTAGAACTGTAATGCATTTAGTTAGGAGTTGTCAGCCTTTGATATGTTGTTGATTAATCACAGACAATGATCAAAATTTCGTTTCGGTGCATTGTTTCGGTTGCCTAGAAAATAGAAACATTTCGATGTGTTTTGGAAACGTTTCGATTTGTTTTGAAAACATAAAGAAAAAATAAAAAATTTAATAATTATTTTTCCAAAATATTTATCGAAATATACCAAAATATCTTTAAATACCTTGAAACATTTGTGCAAATGCATTGACACATTACAAAACACTTTAAAACACTATGAAATACCTCAAAGTATTTAAAATTTCGATTCCATCACTGATTTGTTTCGGTCTCCTTGGAAACGGAAACGTTTCGAAGTGAAATTTTGATCCATTAAGATAATGCTCCTATAAAATCAGATTTTCTGCTAGGCTTTTTTTTTTCTTCTTGGTTTGTGAATGATATGGTGTTTCTTTACAAATGATGGGAAAGTAAAGAATAGATATCTGATAGTTTTAATTGTATTATAACCAAAATATCTATTGTAACATACTTGGGACCTCAAATCAAGGTTCACCCTATGAATGAGGGGATTCTAATCTTGGTGCCCGCTTCTTAGTAAGCCTACACCACTAGGTCAACACATGTTTGCTTGTCAAATAGAGTGAGGGGGAATTTTATGGCCCTCATTGGGTCCTTTAAATCAAGGGGACATTTAATATCTTTGAGAACAGAAATTAATAACAAGATGGACTTTGAGAGAGAATCCTTTTCTAGACTTCTCTACAGGTTTTTTGGCAAAGAATTTGAAGGATGTATTGAGGGATTCCATAGTTAGAGATTGGGTGGTAGTAATTACTTCTGGGACATATAGGTGTGATGATTTAACTCGAGAAGGAACCACTTTTATTAGGATTTTGTTTTTGCGTTTTGCCTTCCCAAAAATTGATAGTTCAGTGAAGATTTTTTGCCATAAGTAAACTTTCAGCTCTCCTGCAAGTTAATGCGCCCTTACATTCAGAACTAACATATTAGACTAAAGTTTCTGTATCGAATGTCTTTTTATATCCCCAGATGAGAAAAGGGACCCTGATGCTTACTTTTATGATAGCTTCTCTCTGCTTCGCACTTCCATTGTTTGTAGTAATTTTATTGCTCAAGCTAGTGGGATGTGGAGAATTTAAACAAATGTGTGATTTATGGATATTGGATGCACTGTTGATTGTGTGTATCTCTTGAAACTCTATATCTTGATGTTGCTTGGGAAGTTACCTTTGGATCATCTTTATACAAACTATGTTTCATCTAACCTCTGGATCCATATGCTTGTCAGGGGTTGTTACTTCCAAGAAGGGGAAGAGGTGAAGATGGAGATGAGTGTAGAAAGTGCGTATCGGAGGTCAATTCAGACACTGGTGGATTGGGTAGTTCGTGAAGTAGATATGAACAAGACTCGGGTCTTCTTCCGAAGCTATGCTCCTGTACACTTCAGGTTTGTCTCATAACTTTCTATCTTGGATATCCTCGGTCCAGTTACAGGTGGTCTCACTTAACAGTTCATCTACTAATTTAATATTTCAGTTTTTGCTCCAATTGTGTAAAAAGAGCACCCAGTGAACGATTACTCCGGAGATATACTCAGATTGTGTGACACCACAATTTGTGGGCAAATACTGTTGGACTTTTTCACCAAAATTCATGTTCGGTACTTAAAAGAAAATTTTAAACATAATTTAACAATTGAAAAGCACATTTATGTTATGTAGGGGCAGTTTTTCTTTGCTGATAGTTCTCTTTCACTCTCTATGGGTTTCAAGCTTTTCAGAACCTTTTAAGACTATCAGGCTTTCAGCAATTGGATGATTAGCAATATTATGCTTACTTTCTTCTCTGCCATCATATACTCTACTTGTAATATGTGTCTTTTTGAAACTAGAGTATGGGGCACAAACAATGTGTGTGCAGAGGTTGAATGACGTTACTAACAAACTAGCAAGAATTGTAACCTGTATACTTAATTGTGGAAGAGATTTATTTGGGAAAAAGCATAAAAACATAGTTGGTTTGTCATTTTGGTCTTATGTTGAATGGAACTGACTTCTGCTAATTTCTCTCCTCTGTAATTGCTTGTATTTATCAACACTTTCTTTCTCTGTCTTAAAAAACTGCCTCCTTCCCATCTATCAAGGTAGTTATCATCGACAGTTTGAAATTCCACAAATCATTTCTTCTCCCTTTTCGATCAATTTAGTTGATAGTTATTTTGAAACTTCCCATAAGTTGTAATGCTTGAACTCAAAATGTTTGAAAAGGAAAATGAATTCCTTAGTTTATTCTGAAATAAGAAAGAGAGTATGCATTCCTAATTCCTAAACCATAAGAGTGTTGGTCTTTTGGGAGGCAAAAAATATGACGAGTTTTCGTGGATTGTTTTTCAGTTTACTACCCAATGCCAATTGGGTTATTGACCTTCCCTTTTCTTTGTTGAGGTGAATTATGTAGCATGAATTTTTATTTTTATTGAGCATATATTGTTGAGGTGGACTATTGAGGTTTGGGGAAACTGGATGGCAGGGGCCAGAGTAAAAAAGTTACCAATAGCTGGCAGGCAGCATCATTAGGTCTATGCTGTTGCATTCAGCAAAGAATTTGGTACTCTTTTGAAGGGGAGGAGTCGCCAGTTATAAAGCTGAAGCCTTTATGATATAATCATATAATTGCCTTTGGCTCGCAAAAAACTCTCTTCAACCCCTTACAACCCTTGTGAATTTAATATCGCACTTCCCATTAGGAGAATGTTCGGATTTTGCAAATATTTTATTGTGGATAGCCTGTTGTCTACCTTTCAGGTTTTGTTTCTTGGCTGAGGTTAGTAACAATAGCTGCAAGCACGTAATTCCATTTGTTGCTTCTATATTTTTCCTTCGGGTGATAGTACCTTAAAGTGAAAGAGCCTGGCTTTATCAATATATCTCAAGTCCTATCGACATTCAATGTGTGCTTCCTGTGAAAACAATCTGTGGAGGCAATGGTAACACAAAAACATAGATATGAGAAGCATTATCAGGGTAATAATCACTAAAAATCATGAGTAACTCGTCAGCCCAAGTATTTTGATTCTTGTAGATTGTTGAACCTGTGTCTAGAGCTATTGAAAAACTCATGGAGATAATTAGTGTGCTAATCATTATAATCACCAACTTTAACAGCGCTGGGGACTGGAAGACTGGTGGTAGGTGTCACCTGGAGACAATGCCGGACCTGGGTTCATTACCAGTTTCGTCTGAAACATTTGGTCAACTAAAAGCTGTTTCTGACGTGGTATCAGAACATTTACAGAAGTCAAATGTAACGCAAATGGATGTATTAAATGTGACCAGTTTGACAGCACTGAGGAAAGATGGCCACTTGTCTATATATTATTTTGGGCCAAACAACGGAATTGCTCCTCTCCACCGACAAGACTGCAGTCACTGGTGCCTGCCTGGTGTTCCTGATACATGGAATGAGCTTCTGTATGCACTCTTCCTAAAAGGGGAGTACAATCGCATACAAAATTCAAATTCAACGCAATCTGCTCCTGCTCCAGTGTGATTGGTGGAGATAGCTTGTTACTACGACAGAAATTTTAAAGGATGCCAAACATATTAGAACCTTTGCAAGTGCCTGAAACTAATACAATGATTTCAACCTGCTGGTTTCACCATACTTGGCTTTATTTTAGTAGATACAAAACAGAGAGTTGGCTGCTTTCATCATACCTGGCCCGAGCCTGTCTGGTTTTCCCCACCAACCAAGAACTTCCATTGTACAGCTCTGCTTAACCTTGTATAGGACAGAAGTCTCCTTGTTCTACTTGGTGATAAACAGTCACGACTCGTGCAAAGAAGTGACCTGCATTGATCAGTCCAGCAATGAGCCTGCGCTTAATTATTAAAGAGGAACTATACTTGAGAATTTTTGCGGTTTTTGGATGAAAGACAGGTTTTGGGCAGCAAATTCTTCATAATCAGGTGATGCTGATGATTTATTTTATCAGAATCTCTTAATTTTAACTTTTGTATAGGCAGATTCTTTTTGCTCTTTTGCAAGTTGTTAGCTGACAGGAAGATACACAAAAGACGTTAGATTGTGGTCAAATATTATCATTCATCAATGGATAAGGAAAATTATACATGTACCAGTTCATGACCTTATCTAATGTATGTTTTTAAATGTCATTGTTCTAACCCAAGGGTATATGAAGTGGCTATATGAACGAGCTATAAATTCAGGCGTTTTGAGTTTAAATCTTGACAACTCTTTGGAGTCACGTCAGGATTCATGAGGGATTTATCCCTCATGAATTCTCTAGTCTCGGCGGCGTGGATAACTTTTCTTTGACCGGACTGGGGAAGAGTTCAAATGATGTGCCCATAAGATAATTTGGACATTCTTGACCATTGAATTGAAAAGAAAAAAAAAGAATGTCATTGTTTTTTATTTTCTTTTATCAAATCCTTATGGACAAGAAAGCAGTTTTGTATAAAAAATATAAGAATAAAANATTGAAAAGAAAAAAAAAGAATGTCATTGTTTTTTATTTTCTTTTATCAAATCCTTATGGACAAGAAAGCAGTTTTGTATAAAAAATATAAGAATAAAAGTTTTGAGGGTAATGTCTTTGTCCATGAAAATTGACAGGAATCATACAATATTCAATGAAATTTTCAGATTAAGATAGACTTTTTTTGGTTTAGGACGTAATAGACTTGAGTGGGTTGATTTTTTTTTTTTTATTTTTTTTTTACAGTTGGGACCCACTCATTTTCACCTTCTAACTCTTGGAAAAGCTGGATCAGACANTTTTTTTTTAACAGTTGGGACCCACTCATTTTCACCTTCTAACTCTTGGAAAAGCTGGATCAGACAAATTGGCTTGTGCCAATATCTATTAGGTCATGGCACTGCATTTTGGAGGGAGACAACGAATGAAAAACGTTCAATTCTTATCTTTTTTTGGTGATGGAAACTCATGTAGGATAGAGTCCTAAAATGTTTCCAATCTGATGAAAACTTACAAGGATAAACTTCCCCATTTTATTTTCCTAACAAGACAAAATTAGTTGATTGACAATTTTTAACACAGACCCGTGTATCTGATACGAAGTGATATATACAAAGTTATCACGTATGGATATAGTCTTAATGGTTTGGGTCATAAATTAGATAACAACTTAGACTTGTTAATACACGAGTCAAAATCAATCCCNATACACGAGTTAAAATCAATCCCGTTATACATGACATAAACCTGTCTATACACAATAGATATTTAGTATGAATTTAACTATAAATTGATGAGTTGGAGACCTAATGTAGAATAAACTAATGATGCAGAATAAATGACAAGAATTTTAGTATTTTATTTGAATATAATCAATTCCATTCAATTAGGAAAATTTAGGAGATTTTACTGTATTTCCTAATTTAATTTATTTTTTGGTTTAATTATAATTTTATTTTATTTGGTTTCCTAATTTATTTAAGATTCTAGTTTCCTAGTTGCTTTAGGGTTTCTACAACTATGTAAAAATCTTGTAGGCCTTGCGCCAAAGCAGTTTTTGGATTATTCAAGAAATTCCTAATTTTTTTGGTATTCTTATGAATTAACAGAGTTATTGAAATTTTTAAGACTAGTATTCTTTGTGAATCAACAAACCTATAGTAAAAATTTAAATCTGTATTTGTGTGTAAATCAACGATTTATTTTCTTTATCCATTTTTGTTCCTTATACTCTCATTTCTGCCCATTTTCCCGTAGCAGGATCGGTGATAAATACTAACACAACATAACACCGACGCAATACTACACTACCCATATGCCACAGCCAGTCATTGATATTATGCTTGGCTTCAATTTGCACTTTGCTAATTTCCAAATGGAGATGATCAATGTCAGATGCTATGCACTGGAAACATAAAACAAAATAACCAATTATGAGTTTAATTTTAGCTTCATGAGAAAATATAGAGCAATAGAAGTCATTGTTATGGTAATACAAGTAACTCAACTTGTTATTGAAGAAGGCAATGCTCTCACACCTTTTACAAGTTCCACAAAAATACAAATGTCTCATTTTCAATCGTACATTTTCCCACATTTAAGGATCTTTCTTTTTCTTTTCTTTTATACCATTCTTCTTATACATACATGTTATGTGCCAAAAAAATGGCTTTAGTGATCACATACAACACCATATGATCATATGTTAAAATTAATGGCTATCTGTTTATTTAGTTTCAAAACCAGCAAGTTCACCTAGTTCTTCCACCTTTTGTGCTAATACCTCAATCTTTTCTACCATCTCCATCAACTGGAACAGAAAGCTTGCAATGGCAACCCCTTCACCATTCTCTGATGCTTCTCCTACCTTGGAAGGAAATGGGACTCGACTCAGCTCTAGTTTCATGGGCTGCAATTTTGGGAATATCAACACCTTGGCCCTGCACTTTTTCATTATTGTGATGCTCTCTCCAAGCTCTCTCAAAGTCCATGCAAGTGACAACCCTACCAATTCACACGGTTCTTTGATCGACTGTTTTAGTGTTGATGTGGCCTGATGATAAAAATTTGATCATACCAAATTAACCATCTAGCTTATGACATGTTGTAAGAAAAAATTGACATATATCGTATTTATTACTGATTAGTTTAGTGAAAAATCATGAACACGAATGAATATTCGATACCTGTGTAGGTGATTGAAGACATCCTTTCATTGAAAAAATGGTTACAGCAAGCTCTCTAAGATCCTCTCCAATCTCTAGGTATTTCTCCCAAGGGTAAGAGAATCCAAATTTTCCATGCCATGGCTCCCATCTTGCAAAGTTTGCCTGATACACAAAGTTAGATTCTCGTTATATTTGTCATTGATTTAACTGTGGATCCTATTATTTATTAAAACTTATTATCTATTCAATAATAGTGATTTATCAAGTCAAGTTTTAAAGTCAATTTTTTAAGTTTGTATAGCACTGCTCTTTACTTGAGGAAAATGCTAAATACATCTGCTATTAATGATCCATTTTGCCGAAAAAATCGATGCTGGCCCAACCACAAGGCCAATAAAGTCTGGGCTTTAGGTCCCACAATTAAAATTCGGCCCAATAACTTTGAAATCGTGGGTTCAAACTTGATGGTATCTACTTTGTACAGATAATATCAAAGGTTATGTCGCGCTAATTGTTTAACTTAGCTTAATATAACTTACTTTGTCCAACAAAATAGCTATACAAGAAAAGAAATATACCAGTGACTGGTCATTGGACTTTGAGTGTAAAACTGTCATGCAGGTGGTGAAATCAACTGTTTTTCCCTTTTCATCCACTGTTTGGAAGTACTGCTCCAAGCATCCTACACATCAATCACATGAGAATTTCAGCAGTTTGATAAAATGGCTTAAATCAATAGGTAAAGAAGGTGGGATTATGATTTTTATTATTGGTAAAGCCAACTTCACAACATAAAAAGGGGTAAATTAGGTCTTGTTTGGTTTGCGTCTCAAAAAATAGTATCTGAAAATTATTTTGAGTGTTTTTTGTTCTGTAAAATTTATTTGGTTATTTGATTCCAAAAGCAGGTTTACGGTATAGAAAATAATAAAACTTATTTGGGCTGTAACCTAGAAAATAATTAAAACAGAAATGTTGTAATAGTAAAAGTGTAGACGTCGTGGTGGTGGTAAAAGTATGGTGGTAGTGTTGATGGAATTGTGGTGGTGGGAGTGTGGTGGACATGGTGGTGGAAGTGTGGTGGTGGAATGTTCATGGTGGAGGTGGTGATGTTTTCTAAATTCTGGAAAAATTATTTAAAAAAACACACAATCAATTTCTAATTTGTTCTCTAAATCTATCTAATTTTTGTCCTCAATTTTTAAAAAACAAAAACAAAAAGTAACTGACCTAACAGTTTTTCTCTCGGAAACTAATTTTGAAAATAGAAAACAGTTTCTGAAATACAAATCAATCAGGACCTAAGTTTTTGTTGATTAGCCTAAAATTTATTATCTATGAAAAATGTTTGCGGTATAAACTAAAGCTAGAGCATTGGAGATTTGGGCTTTCTGTATATAGATATGGGGTGTACCTTCAATACAGCAAGCAAGTTTTTCAAACTTAGTAGCTGCAGAATGGTGAAGTTCATCGCTAGCCCACATTGGGAAGACGAGTAAGCTGGTGAATATGCATACAGCAAAACCCATACCAATTGTGGAAAGACGATCACGGGCTAATTTCATCACTTCATCAGCACGAACACCAGATACCACCACCAGATTGAAGGTAAGGATGAAGATCATGGCTCCATAGTCATATCTTCTCTTAATGCTTGGCACCAATCGAGAGTACGTTGCAGCAGCAGCTATCCATGAAAATAATAGATGATCAGAGTAATGTTTTTCTCTATATGGTCTCTTGGGCGTGTTTTGAATTTTGTTGTATATCTTATTTATTAAAAAAAAAGAAGGAAAGATCGACGATTTACCAGCATAAGCTAAACAAAAAGGCAGAAGGTACCACATCATGTCAAATAATTAGTTACTTTGTTGCTATGCAGTGAAATATATGTACTGTTTTGTCAGCAAATAAATTTGTTTTGGGAGGGAAAAAATATATATTAATGTAGTAAGTTTGAGAGAACAAACAAAAGCTAAACAAGAGCTTTTTTCTTACCAAAGATAAATACAGAAGTGCTAACAGCAATGGCACTGCTAATTCTACCGTGAACTTCATCGGCTAAAATTGCAGCCAAACACCCCAATCCACCACCTAACATAGTTCCAATTCCGCGATTTATGCCCTTGCTAAGCGTAGCACCTGACAAATATATTATCAAACTTATCATTATCATGATCATCAAACTAGAAAAGAAAATATAGGTATTTTCGGATATTTACTAAAGAACTAGGAAGAATTTATGCAATTCAATCAATCTATATCCCTAACTTAGTAAATTAATGACAAATTAACCTGCAGAAAACTCGAAGATAACCACAACAGTCATTATAGCCCACATTGCATTGTCTCCAACTTCCTCGTACAGAGGATCCAGGAGATAGAAAAGTGAAACCAACACCAAGGCAATTCCAACCTTGACACTATGAATCACTTTTATCATGTCAGGCTTACATTTTCCCTCTACAAGAGAAGAACCAATAGAACGTAAAGAGAATTGAAATTTCTTATTCTTGTTGGAAACAATCCCATCTCCATTGGGGATAGTTACTATGGTTGAACTCATGGTTAACTGTTTCATTCAATACGTTTCTCTCTCTCTCTCTCTCAAACTGAGGATGGCTTTCTTGTCGAGAAGTTGAGTTTGAGAGAAACCAGTTATATATACAGCCATTCCATGAATCATGGTAGCAAGTGGGGTAGATAGTAGGATAACCAAGTGCCAAAATGGGCATGTAGGCCTTTGTGCAACAACTGTTTTTGGCCAACCCTAAAAATGTAAAATAGAGCACTAAACGCAATATGATTTATCTGCATTTTATCTACCAATGAATTCATTTGTGTGACCTATGTGGAATACGCTTGCCCAGCATGAGGACACACTTGGAAATGATGGTGTGGAGAACGGTCTTTTCGAAACAACCTCAATGCAATGCCTGCGGTGAAATCAACATGTATTGTGGGCATTAGTACTACAGGATTAGGTAGGGTTCAAGTCCCCACTCTCCCTTCCCTCCAAAAAAAAAAAAAAATACTACAGGATTAGGTACTATTGTCTCTGAGTCCTCGGGTATTATTCAATTCAACACTGAATCGAGGCAGACAATTCTATTCCTATATGCTTTGAAAATCACTTAATTTTGTTATAGAATTCATGAAGTGATCCTTCACTGTTGTAAAGATATCGGCCCTCACTAAACTTCTTCATATTTTTCCTAAATATCTTTGAAATGCCTTCGACAAAACTATGTCCCCCTGAGCACAAATCTCGTATTCATCCTGATTCGACTTAATAAGTACTAGAAGTATATATAGTTTTGGATAATCCGACTAAAGGAGATCAATCACCTCATTAAGTCGAATCAAAACCTGTCATAAACCTCTTCATCACCTTTGCTTTTTGAAGTGTAATATCAAGTTAAATGGGTGCAAAAATCGTTTTATGTCGTCACATTGACACATTTCAATGGGTGCTACACCAACAGTATGTCTATAATGTAGAAGGAGAAGTTAGGTAAGTTCAGTACGGAAAATATACAATATGTTCAAACTGCTTAAACTAATGATGATTGATATTTCATCAGTGACATTACCTTTCCTTTTAGTGATGTGCATCGTGTTGAGCCACTAAGGATTGTTCCATTACGAGAGCATGCTGTCTGCTTCTGTCTTGAAGTATTTGAAGTTTTTTGAATAAAGTTCTGCTTTTTTTATTTTGTCGATGTTGAAGTTTTACATCTTTCATACATTCGAAAAAGAAATGACAGCCCTTTTTGTGTTCAGTTGATATGATTTTATTTTGATATCCTGTGCAAATCCCGGGTAAAAGATGAGTGATTCCCTCGAGTACATCCGACAAAATTAGAACGATACAGAGAAAATTAACATGACCCATATGACACATACACAAAACGAAGAAATAAGGATAAATGGCATTTCTCTATGCATGTTAAATTGTTAATCTCGTGAAACTTAGTTGGGACGATATTAGGGAATTTTCAGTTAGACAATAAAATATTTGATTAAATTGCACGTTGTTCTTAATATTAACATCTTTTCTTTTCACCGTTATCTTTTTATAATTAAGCTTATACTACCGCGCTCTTGTTCTAATTGGTTTATGTAAGTTTCTAAACCTTTTTTTCATACTTATATTTTTGCAAATTAGAAAAAAATCAATCTAGGAGTGAGATATTAGTTAGCATAATGTTTCAGTTCAAGATGGTATCTTCAAACTTACGTAGTTTAGTAAATAGAACAATGAAACTGTAGTTTCCTCAATCTTCTGTTCATTTTCTTATATGGCGGTGGCCAGCTAGGCCTACTGTACTGAGCATGGGCGGAGTGAGGCTTGGGCGAGGGTGGGAAAGTGTCCCCTCAAATTTTATTTTATTTTTTATTAGTTAGGTATATATATTATATATATATATACACAAACAAGTATATATAAATACATATCTATACTTGTATATATGTATATAAATATAATATACGTATCTATATTTATATTTATACTTGTGTGTGTGTGTATATATATATATATGTGTGTGTGTGTGTAACATTGAAAGTGTAAAGTGTAAAATGTTACATATTAACATTGAAAGTGTAACACTTTCTCAATTAATTAACATTTTTAGTGTAAGATGAGACATGTATATTATGTTTGTGTAACATTTTAGGTAATGTCTCCCTTTACTTTGTGTAAATAACTTGTTACATTATTATTGTTACTTTCAATATTACCTTATAATACGTTACACTTTTCATTAAGAAAGGTGAGACATGAGATAATATTTTACAATGTTACACTTTATATTTTACACGTATAACTAAGAGATATTTAATTCACCACTTTCCAAAAAACATACACATGGATCAATGGAGGACAAAAATATCACAAAAAAATTAGGCAAATTCAAATTATGTACTTAAATACAAATAAGTATCAAAATTAAGAACTTAATAATCCTACATTTTTTAGTATATATTTTTTGCCAAATAAATCTAATTTGGTTTAACTCCTTACAATTTACTCAAAAAACAAAGCTTGCAAACCTATCTTATATAGTATCTAGTATATTTGCCCCCCCCCC